CATTGCACGACAGGCACACAGTCCTGTCACATTGCAGTAACGGCAAAGTAGGTAGCTCCTCCTGATTTTTAAAGAAATATCAAGCTACGGTCTACTTTGCAGCCACAAGAACTGGCTAACTAGTTCATGCTAACCTGCTGGTACATTGATTAAAGTGTTAACACAACATCAGTTACCTGTTTGAAACCTGACTTGTATAATTCTACTCCACCTTGAAATCACTTCCGTGAGTATGACCTAGCCTTCTTTCAAGCCAGGAATGAACTGAATAGGAATAATAGCTTTATTTTTTTTCTTCTTTTAGAGGTCTCTCAGGGAACATTTGCAAGTGGAAAGTCAACGCAGAATTAGCAAGATTCGACAAAAAAAAAAGTCGGTAAGCGGTAAAAATTTGGGCACTATTTTCTTTTCAGTTTCTTAATTCATGCATGTGTCAAATTATACTTACCATACAGTAAGGAAAAATAAATATGTAGATGAAATAACTCATGATACTTAACAGGAACACACGAAGAAATAAATATGACACGAGACCACTATGTAAAGAAAATAATTATACAAGTTCGACTTATTCAGAGTCTACTGTTTTCCAACCTGCAATTCTGTTGCTTCCAGATTACAGCATAAATTACCTAGTTATGGCATCAACTGTTATCACCGAAGGCAAAATATTAAGTTGTTTAAGTATTCTGGTTATTCTGTCAAATGAGGATAAAAGTACTGCCTTCATAAGGGTATTGTGAGGATAAGTTCATTATGTATTAAGAGGCAGAAAGACAGTTGTGTGATGGAGGTCCCCCATATATTTAACAATGCAATTACATGTTCAAAATCATGTTATAGCAGGTCAGCAAAACACTCTTCAATGCTGTCCCCACTGCTCATCAAAGGAATGTCTTAGCCATAGGAAATCTCCTTTAGGTACAACTCCTTTGTAAAATTTTACGAAAGAAAATGTATTTTACCTCATGATGGGAGCCAGAAAATGGGCACATGATCAGCCGAGGCAGTTCGGCTGCCAAGCAGCAACTTGTTAACTTGCCGTAACTCAATCATGTTCAATTGTTTGCCCACTGCCTCGGGCTACAGACAGACATTTGGTCTGCTAACAACTGCGCCAGATGAAGACATTACTATCCCAAGCTATTTGTTATCACACATCTGCTGGAGATTATCATCTCCACAGCTCTGCTGGAGGAAGAAATCATGTGAGCACACCCTAATATGGTTTGTACAAAACCAGCCAATTTAATTTAAATAGGTGAGTTGAGCTAACCAGGCTGACTTTGCCTGAAGCACACTAAAAATTCAGACAAAACCCCTTCTTTACTGGCAAAAGAATAGAGGATGAAAACAAGCTGCTGGAAGAATTATCTATCACCTTTAAGCAGATTGGGGAGGAGACTGTTCTCATCCTAATGCAGAGAGATAATGTAAACAGAGATTTTTTTTCAAGGCTCTAGAGGAGGAATAAATGCAGCTTCTAAAAGAGTATTTTTTAGTACTGTTAGCAATTTAAATAATGAATGGGAAAACTATATATTTGTAGATTAAATCTTATCTGTGAAGGTAGCATAAATAGATAGGTATATTTAAATGTCTTGAATGCAGAAGATCACATGCTGAACTGTATCACTGTTAATATAATCTATTCAGGTTCTAAATGTTGTGGCTCAGGACTGTCCCCTTCCTTAACATCTTGTCCATCAGTAGCCATATCAACGGTTCCCTACAATCTGATTAACTTGCCACTAGAAAAAGTTCATGTTAGTTATATGGGATTAGATCATTATTATTAATTTTGACAGAAGAAACCTAATACAAGCCACCCACTACATAGTTCATCCCAGACAGTATTATTCCACCACAAAGAGACAGCTGCAGACCACTGCCATGCTTAGAGCTCCACACCTTTCTGATGTTTTTTTAGAGTAAATTATTCCACAAGTCACTGATCTAATGTAACATGGGTATTTACATATTGTCTACACGCTGACACAAGAACTGTGTTCAGTCATCCAAAAGGGGTAAGAAAAGTCAAGGCAAGCACAGAAAAATGTGTGTGTGTACGCATCTCATACACATATGAAAAACAGAAAAAATGTCTTCCAGAACAGCAAACAAACAAGAAATACAGTTACGTGAAAACTACACACTATACCCACAGAAATTCAGTCTTGCAATAGAAGCAATTTAGACTGTATGCTAGACAAGTACAATAATTTTATCGAATGTCCAAGACTCATCCACTGCTGCTGTTCTCTCATCACATTTAGTAACAAAGAGTAAGACAATATAAGGTCACAGCCACTACTTCCTAAGTGGGTTACTCATCTGAATTACCTTGAAGTATCCTCTGTAATAGTTTAACACATGCAAGAACTACTTTAGTGTCCATTTAGGAAAACTTCAGATTTTGGTTTGTGAGTAAACACCTCTATTCAATAGAAGATTTAACTGCATATGCATGTAGTACACTGAAATAATCAAAGATTTACTACAATTTTACTTAATTCTTAACTCAACCTTGTGATATTTGATTGGTATCATTGTACTTCAGTGGTTTTTCAAAGTACTTGGACACATGTAAAAAAACTAAATGACAGATTTCCACTTAAAGCTTTTACATGCAGTATTGAAGATGCACATTTCCAGCTGAGGTGATGTTCACCATTTTATTAACTCTGTGAACATTATTTGTTACTAAATCAGTAATTTCTACAGGTACCTTGTTAAGTAGAAACATTTTCCTTCTCTACATTGGCTGGTGAAACTAAGATTAACCCTTTTGATAGAACTAACAATTTAAAACTAGGTCATAACAAAATCAGTCTTCAATATTAATGACTGGTAAATCTGACATATGTCACCAGGTAACAGTAATTTCATTAGTAAGGAACAGAATACCAGAGGAATTGTCTCAAATCAAATGAGGATCAGCACTTAACATGTGAGGAGATGTATGTATGTTGTGTTTTTTCTATATAACTGAAATTCAATCTCTATTTTGGTTGGAATAACTTCTGGTAAAAAGCAAAATATTAGGATACAAAACATTTGAACTACAGAAATGAAGTAGTCAACAAAGTATGCTATTGGCCTGAGATAAAAGATGTTTGCACATTGTGCAAATTAAATTATTATTTTCAGCAGCTAAACCATAGAAAGAATGTTAAAATTTGTTTAATATACATCTTGTAAATAACACTTATGCTTTGATATTCTAAGACAGGAGATGGCCTACTAAAAACATGATTTTCATAGTAGTTTGAATTTTTCTTCAAGTCACTTCAAGTTTCTATGGTAGGATTTTCTGAAAAAGCAAAAACAATTATTTTGAAAAAAACTGATTTACCTGGAGCAAAAACGCCTTTGAAAATAGAGATGATGGTACCAAGAGATGTGAGCAGGAGACCCTGCTGGTTTTAAGGGTAGTAAAATATGCATCTGAACTGTGGCTTTACCTATGTTGTAATAATAGTTTATGGAAGCCTTACTTTAATATTACAGATATTTTTCAGAAATTGCAAATCTTCAGTCTTGAGTTTGCCACCTATTATTTCTACACAACCCTGTCAGATATTTATTGGGATAACAGTCTATTAAGGTACTGTTGACTGGACATGAAGAGAGGTTGAAGATCACTTCAGGTACTTAAGGCCATTTTAAAAATCTCTGTTCTAACTGCTTGTGCAGGTAGCAATCACCTCCCAAGAGCTTCACTTGTCAGGACAACAAACACCTGAGTTATGATTCTGAATTTCTCAAACTGTTTTATATTGCTACAACATAAAAAAAGATCCTAAAATGACTTTGAATATTATCTGTTTCTTAGTTCTCACTTTATACCCACTTTATACTCTCGTGTAAGTAGTCTGATAGTCTGATAGCCCATTTATGGTGAAAATTCATATCTAACTTCAACTAATTCTAAAATTATGAGCCAAAATATCATTTAACAAGTGCACTTGCCAGAAAAGTTATGCAGAAGTTTTAAAAATTTTGTTTAATACAAAAGGTTTAATAGACAAAGATAACCACAATTTCTAAAGATGAATTACCGACACACCATAACCAGTGTCTTAGAGTATGTGACCAGAACTTGCATATGATGAAACAGATTCATATTTAATGTGCATATTTTTGAAAGAAGTATTGGTCTCCCTTTCCAGGTATTTAGCAAGGGAAGTATTTAGCAATATTAAAAACTTAGGGTGACCACATATATACTAAAAGTCAACTGCCTGAAAGAAAACTCTCTTTCATGTACCACAGAATTACATGATGATATAAATTCATTACAACTTTTTCAAAAAAGTAACTTGATAGCACATTGTCATCTTTACAGAACAACATAAAAATAGTGTAAGGTGTTGTGCACAGCAAGGGAAGTATTGCTGTAGTTTCTCATTTGAAAAAATGATAGAATTAAAATAATTATTTGCTAGAATAGATTTAGCAGGTAGCCTGTACACAAAAAAAAATCCCTCTAGGAACAGGCTCCTAGATCAGTGTCTGTAAGTTCAGCGTTGACGCTTTGTCTTTTGAGAGAGAGGAAAGAAGCTGGAGGATAGAATTAGATTTGCTTTTATTAAGTCTTCACAATGAAATTTTTATAGTCAAAATATAGGAAGAATTTAAGTGTTACAGTATTTATTTTCTTGATTTCACATATGCATAATAGTAATTTTATACATTTCCAGCATTTAACTTACATGCCAGAAGCAAAAACCATACTTTGGCACCCATTTAATTCTGATGTTCTAAAGAGATTAAGTTTAGTAAGTGTAGTTGGATATAGTCACCACAAAACTCTAATACTCATAGTTAAGGCAAAGATTATGCCAAACAAAAGAAATTCTTGAAAATAAAGCACAAAAAAACCCCAGAAGACCTAGTACAATACACCAATGGATTGGTGCCACTTCTTATATAAAAATTTGAGAGTTGAGAAATCAAGTTCCTGAACTGTATTAATGACAGCTGCCACACTAACTCACCTGCTAGCTGTTTTTACAGAGCTGTTCTTCTTGTGTCCTCTCTCCGATCGGTTGTCTCGCAAGAGTTGAAGCTATCAAAAAAAAACCCAAACATGTTCAGAACAATCTCACAAGCAATGCTTTTATTTGCTTTTTAGAATAGTTATCCTGACAACGCAACTCTTTCCTCTCTTGAGTAATCTCTCAATAGCTTTCACCCATGACTTTGAAATTAATAGAATTTTACAATGATAGCGAATATGTAAATATATATCTACCAATTTAAAATGCCTAAATAATTGAAAAAGTAAAATTAAAGCATTTTCAAAGCATATTAGAAAGCCATGCAATTCAAAATTTCACAATTAATTTATCTGTAAAATGTCACAATTTCAATCTAAATTTTCAAAGCTGTATAACTAAAAGTGTTGGAGGACATTTAATTTACAAAAAACTATTCAGGTTGGCACTTGCATCTAAGCAGTTATGAAACAGTTATAAACTCTTCTACTAAGCCCCAGGAGCTGTAGTAATTTGAAAGTTGCACAATCAACAAAAAGACAGAATTAAAGCTTCCCGTAACAGTGAGGAAGCAGGAATAATGAAGGATTTGTTTAACTGAAATGGTGACTCAGCTTCTGAAACAAGCTGTGATTTACTTTATTTATTTTTAGACAAATAAAGGAAGACTTTTCAGTCAGACTCTCTCCAGCACCCAAAGAGTCTATTTCCAGCATTATGTTTGTCAGATGAGTCAAGTGGCAATAACAGTAAAAAACAACTGTCAAAACGTTACACTAAAGAAATTAAAACTGGACAGTATAAAAGCTCTACAAATGTTTCTTGAAACTTATCACATATTGAGGAAAGAATAGAATGAAAGACTGTTTACAAACAAAGCGGGGCAAATGGACCTAATATTCACAGCAAAGACACTTAAAAATCCTATGGAAATTAGGAAATGATCAATTTTATGACTTGGTCAACCACACTTTAATATTGTACATGAGAAATGCCACCAGTCTATAAAATTGATTGATCAGTTTTTCCCCAACTCTCTAACGCTTCCCTCTTGTATAAGGAACGAATGTTCTTCATTTCAGCTATATAGTTCTCAAATGCAGTGTGCTTTTAAAAGGCAGGGGTATCTGAAAGGATACATAAGGTATATATTCTCAAACATTTTTGCAAATTAATTTTTTTATTTTCTTAAAATCAAAGAATTAGAGCACTTACAATTCATATTCAAATGTAGCCACAATGTTTACGAGTATAACAGTCAGACAGTGTGTATCTATTTCATGGTCAAGACAAGGAGAATAGTTTTATTGTTATCAACATTCTCTGGTTGATAAATAAATTGTAGTTATAGCATATACAAATGAAGATCATCTGCCAAACTTCAAATGTGGTTACTTGATTACTCATGTTCTAACATAATAATTTCAACTCCAAAAATTAATTAAAACAGAAAGTAGTAAACACATGCAAAGAACAGTTATACACTATGGATTTTCAGAATCTAGTGAGAATTTTAGTGGTTGTCAAAACTGTCATAATTACATTGCAATGTCATTCCCATTTCTTTTATTCTCCTGTCTTAAAAAAAAAAGTATCAATCATACATCTATAATTGATTACATTAGCTTTACTTCACAATTCCTTAGTAATCTGTAAATTAAAAATTCAGTTGACAAGCTCTGGAAACACAGTTCTTAGGAAAGATGAAAAAACCACGTAAAATATAAAATTAATTCAAACCTACTATTATCTGAGAAAAATGGATTAATTTGTCATTATATACCAGCTAAGCAGTCATTTCTCACCCTCTGTGCTGACTGGATAGTGCCGGTATGTATGGTGTGCATTAATGTATTTCTCATCATGGAAATTTCCATATTTTTCAGCTTAGAATCTTTTAAAGAAGTAAACAGTACAACTTCAGTTAACTAATCTGTTGAGACAATCAATATTTTAGAAACCAAACTGAAAAAAAATTGCCCAAACTCACAGTAACCTAGTTCTTTTTTATACGCTTGTTTCACTAGGAAATGTATTTCAAAATAATGAGAGTTAAATGTGAATTATGTAAACCTGTCAGTCAGCTGACATATTGCAACATGCTAGAAGTTCACAACCTACAGCTAAAACTAACATGTTTTATTGACTGTGGCACTTTTGGGTAAGTAATATGGCTTGCTCTGGAGTTCAGAAAAAGAGGGGGGGACAGGAAAGATTTAAACTATGACTTATCGGAACTACAAGTGTTCATGATGGATCATCCTAAGATGAACCTTCCAAAGACTGTTTAGATTTTATTTCCTTTTAAAATTTCAAATCTATTCACATTTGTAAATACACTAGCAAACTGGCACAGATCTTTTCCAACTTAGTCGATTCTGTGAAATCAACTGCGTGACATCGATTTTTTCCAAGTTAAAAAAATAGAACTTTTGTCTTAAATTTCAATGCATTAATGACATATTCAACTACTTTTACTGAATGGTTGAAGTTAACTACACATTTATGAAATGAAACCAGATTTATTTTCATATTTTAAAGTCCTGGACAGTATGTTCTGCTTAGATCTTACTACCATCCATAAAGACAGGTATTCCTCCATGTCTGAAAACAAGCTAAAGTGTCATGTTGCTAATCAAATATTAAACATATCTTCACATTCCCTCAACCACATCTCTAGGCTTGGATCTCCTAATTCCTACATTCTAGGGCCTCAGCAGATGACGTAATTTTCACCAACTTCTGCACCATGATGGAGATTTAACAGCTCCTTTTTTACTGCTGTGGTCATTGCAACCAATGAAATGCAGAAAAATGGAACTGAAGATCTTCTTGTAGAAGCCTGCCTACTCTTGTCAAAGTATTTCTTGATTTTGGAAGTGAAATGTTTTGCTTTCCAGCATTTTGAGAAATGCAGTATTTGGAGATACTACGATTAGACAAAATAATTAAAGAAAATTCAGGATTTTCATTTAAACTTTAAAACCTCAAAGATACTTCACTGAAATTAAGTGACTAATTAAAGATTTTTAATTAAGAGAATTTTGGAAACGCACCGCTGTTATTATGTTTGCTTACAAGAAAATATGAAATTATACCTGTTTTGTTTATAATTTCTTAAAATACTAGCCCACTACCTCTGGAGTAGAGGTAGTTAAAGTTCTTTATACATCCCTAGTAAACTGTTCTTGATCAAAGCAGTTCTTACCTGGCTATGTTCCTTCCTAGCCCCAGGGCTAAACCAGTGACTGTGGGAGAAAAAGAAAAGACAGTTTAACAATATAACTAACAAAGCACATGCTGTCATATGACCAGTCTGTGCGTGCTTTTGGGTATTTTATTGCCTGCCAGGAAAATATAGCCTTTGGCTATGCTTTATTTTAATGGGATATTTTTATTGAACTCTCTAAGTCTGTTACAGTTCTGAAAGAATGCATCACAGATTTCACTTCTGAGAAGCTACTGGCTTTATAGGTAATTATATTTTGTCAAACAAGCTAAAATAATACATAAATGATGGTATTTTAATACTACTATGCACATGCTATAAATAAAAGTAACTTATTATTTAGTAGTGAAGTGGTAGTTATTAATGATTATAGCTGAAAAGACTTTAACATACTTTGGACTACCTGATAGTTGTTAACACAGTATTTCACAAACTGAGGTCTGAGTTAGAATCTAAAGAGAAATTCCAAGTTTGTAAATTCAGTGGCTTCATATCTCCATACAACTACAGAATTTTGACTATCAGCAGCCTTATTTCAGAGATATAAAAATTTGGACTGAGATGCTGACACGCAGGGACGAGAACATGCCTCTTCCCTCAACAGCAGTAAAAGCACAATACTGGTTCACATACACACTGTGATCACACAGAACCGAATAACCATCTGAATGGAGCTGTAGCAAGAATTATACAAACCTCCACACTTGGAAAATGAAAATGAGAAGGCAAAAAACCCAAGGGGGATCTCAAGTTACATATAGTACCTACATATTATCCATGTAAGCAAGCAATAGGTTTGGGTTAAAGGATAAAATAATTTCATCCATTACAATATTGCACAAAAAAGAACATCTGCTATTATACTTGTAAGTTCCTCTGTAAGTACAACCAAAGATTATAAACTTAACTTAGTCATGCTTTTTTTGAAGTAGTGACATTCAATACAGTTTCATCCTATTCCCCCCCACCAGCAGCCACATAATGATGTTTAAACTTTAATTAGCATACTGAGAAGATGCAGATTCCATGGAACTGTTCTGTCTAAATCACTTTTATTTTTAAGTCACAAATCTGAAAGTCTTGTGGCTTTTTATCACTCAGTTTTTGTGAGTTTGCTGATGAGCAGTCAACCTTCTCATTCTTGTATAAAAGACCAGCTGTCACCAAAACCTTCATACTGTTTTCTCCTTTTTCTACTTTTAAGGTGATTAAGGAAAGGGAGTTGGAAATGAAAAAGGCCTGGCAGCAATGAAGTTAAAAGTATACCTGAGATAAGGTAGACATCTATATATTTTGGACATGAAACATTCATCAACTGCACTGAACAGTTCAAAATCTGGCGAAAACAGGGAGATTTCATATACACACAACTTTGATGTTGGCAGGGGAATGAAAAGTACAAAACATCACATTTGCAGATGACTCAACACACAAGGTCACAAACATCCAGGAGCTGATGAAGATAAGAAATATAATGGCTTAGATCTAAATTCCACATAGATGAGTGTCTTGTCTCTGATCAGTGTCAACAGCAAACACTCAAGGAGGAGCGGCAAACTCGTCCACATAAACTCTTGTGGATTGTGGCAAATCAGTTGATTACAGACTAAATAATTAGTAAAACATCTCTATTGAAAAAGTACATCAAAGTAATTTGAATGCATCTCATATTTAGATATTAAAAATCTTTCATAAAGAATAAGACCTCTTGTAATGGGAAAGTAATATTCACATCACACCGATTTTTACAATTTTGTCCATTCACTTAATCACAGTATTATTTATTTGCTTGTAAATACAAAAGTAAATCCCATAAAATACCAGTTGAATTACTTAAGGGTAGAAATAACGTATGAAATCATAACATCTTGAATTCACACACACATTATCAAGTTGTGGGGTGAAACAGAAGTGGATTAGTATCATAAAACAGTTGGTACTAAGGATCTGATGTTTGCAGTATCCTTGCCTTGGCAAGTTCTGTTTTAAACTGTGGATGCTTGGTCTAGTAGCAGTTAGAACGTACAAATGCATCCCCAAATATACTATTTCCTCATCATGTATGTCTGTATTTTAAATTTCTGATTTGAAAAATAAAGGAAAATTTAATGTTCTTATTCTAGTATTTGAAAGAGATAACAAATAAATAATGCTGTCAAATGTTGCCACTTGAAGAGAAGAGCATACACTTATTACATACTAGAATAACTAAACAAACTGAATTACATTCCCTATTTACTTATGTTTAAACAATTAATTCAGTATCTTTTTTTGGAAATTATTGTAACTCCCATCACTGATACTCACTCATGGTGAAGAGAATCCTGGGCCAAGTGAACCGTTTTCCTGCTACCGCCTGGTCCTGGTGTTATCTAATGGAAAAAACATAGGGAAAAAGAAGTGTTTGAATAATGGGGCACCATATATACAAAATGATTGTTTATTAGGAATATATCACAAATGTTAAATACAAAATAGAGACAGCATATAGATGCAGTAAATGCAATTAGCAATATCTGCAATTTTTAAGTAAATTCTGAGTGCAGAAAGTGTTATATAAGATTTGGCAAAATCCTTTATGTGCAATTCTGATTGGATGTCAGGCATAAAAGACATTTAGAGATGTCAAGGCCCTAAGTTACTTTTTTTAAAAGTTCATGAATGCTTTATCTCCTAAAAATGAAAGTTAGATGTTTTGAAAATCATAGTGAATATACTGTCCTTATTTATGGCTAATACAGAAATAAATTTAGTAAAAAGAACACCTCCCAACCTTTGTATCCCAACACAAACCTTTTGAAATTCAAGCTGATGTGGGATAGAAAGCAAAGGTGAAATAATTTTTACCACACTTTACTGTAGTCAGATGTTCTGCCAGGCTCGAAAGGAGACCACAAAAACTCAATGGTAATACATTTATATGGCTCAGGTTTGCCAGTAGTACATAAGGAGGAGATTCACAGATAAAAGCAGTCTACTTGTTGCTACAAGAACAATGAGTTCAACTTTTAAAGAAAAATATCCCTATTAATCTGGTCTTGTAATGGAGAAAACTCAGGACAGTTGAAGCTCCAAGTCTGGAAAACTTTCGAAGAATGCTCACTGGATAATTTGAAAGCTCCACGCGATTAAAGTATTTGAGCAAAATCTACTTTTTTGACCTGAAGAATGATGTCACTTGGGGCTGAACTGAGAAAAAAATGAAGTGCTGTCACTTTTATAGCTGATGGGGATTAAAAAGAATTGGTAATATCTTAAATCTGAAACATCTATGCAAACATACAAATCTCTAGTAGAGGAAATCATGGCAGCTACATGGGAGAACAGCACCTACTGATTTACCCTCATTTTGTTGTTTTACTAGATTGATTGAGGCCTTTCACAGCCATGTGATAATAATAAAACACCGACCAAACGTTACTTTTTAAATGTCATAGTTCATCTAATAATAGAAGTGAGATACGGCCACTCGCAAAGACAGGCCTGTAAATATGAGCAAGGATTTTAATATGAAATTTCTAAATTTTAAGATTAATAACTAAACTGTTACCTTAACACTATAGGTAAACATGCAGCTCAGCTCTTGAGAGTTATATCCTGCATTAATCTCAAAATGAGGTTTTCATGCTATTCCAGTGGGTATCCCTGGAATACAGTAATCCATTTTCTACACTGTGGCTATAAGAAAAGCCGACTGTGCCTATGTCATGCTTTGTTAGAGGTTCATGATCACATTATCTCATGGTGGACCTGACACTTTTATTCAGTTTACAGTATGTTCTGTGTACAGGCAACTTATTTCCTTTGCCAGGGCTGCTGACAACCTTTTCCACACTATATTAATCTTGTTTACAGACTTTATCTTGGTACAAATATCAGAAAACCGAACTTTTTATCTCAGGGAGAAAATAAACAACATGTTGACAGAAGCAAAAGCTATTTTCTGGACTAAAATTGGTTGTTTACCTACAGCCATACTTATGGAAACAAGTTTAAGTTTTCAGCTTACTCAAAATACATAATCTGAAATTTAATAAGCATGGAAATTTCAAGAAAATTCACCTGATAAATTGCCAGTTTTAAAATAATACAGAAACCACAGAAGCATGTTTTTCCACTAATTTATATGAGAATATGAACTTGCTTGGAATACAGTTACAACTGATCACAAAGTGCACTGCTCAGGTTTCTCCTGCACACCCCAGATAGCTTCAGTTACCAAGCAGACACAGAATATTTATAAAACTAAACTCATAATGCATATATATACAGGCCTTTGCATAAAACTGACTGCTGATTATTGTAAGATTCACAATGTGTTAGTGCAAAATTCCTATTTGCAAAACTTACCTAGGGTGTAAAAAGCTAAACCAAAGCCCATTGAGCCCACCTTCATCCGCTAACTCACTCTTACAAAAATCTCCGAAGATCTGCTGAATCTCCACAGAAGTAAGGGCCAATTGCTCCAGAAAACGACAGCAAGTTGCAGGACACAAAATCAAAACCAATACCCTCTCAACTGTTCAGATTCTTTATCTATGCAAACCCCCAGTTGTTATCTATCTGTTCCTTTGTTAAGCAACAAAATCCCAGCGCACAAGAAGAAATCGGGGGTAAAGCAGGTACTGTCTTTCCCTTGGGTACTTACAAACAGCACTGAAAGTTTGCAAAACTAAGATTTTTTTTTTTTTTTCAATTGAATGTATGCTAGTGTGCACATATGTGTATGAGGGAACCAGAGTTGCTGTGGTGGGAGTGTTAAGAAGACTGACAGACCGGGCCTGCTTTAAATTTTAAACTCAGTTCATTAATTAACATTACTTCTTGGCAATGGTCACTTCTTGCACAGTAGTAAACATCCTCCTTTGATACACAAGCGTATTAGTTTTTAACACTTGCATGCTAAATTAGCCATGAGTACACAATATCCTAGAACTGATACTGCAGAGTCAGCACTGGCAGGGATGGTCCCTGATGGTTTTGCCACGGGGGTCAAGGTGACCAGGACTGAGCCATCTGAGAAAAGACATTGGAATTGAAGTGGGTTTTTCCTTCTCATCGTATTCTCCTAGCCTGTGTCTGATGTCTTTATGTTCTGAGGGAGTGGATACCTTCTCATTTTTTTGAGAAGGAGCAAGTTAAGGGCAAACTGAAAAAGCACGGTTTGATAATTTCCAACGAATGCTACAGGCTCCTTTTGCCACATATTTCATAAAAAAAAATGCAGCAGATTTTTGTTTTTCTAATAATATAAGTACAGTAAATTTTTTAAAAAATCTTTTGATGGATCAACTTTTCGGAAAAAAGCCATTGCACACTTAAAAGTGTGCACACACAACAGGAACAGAATTCTGACCTCAGAAGTTCCTTCCTATACGACATTAAAATCCCTACAAAATGCCCAATAATAGCTTTCAAGCTTTTTAGTAGATTTAACACTGTTTCTAGAAGTTGCAGTACCCCACAACCAAACATAATCACACCCATACTGGAACTCAGATAACCATAACTAATATAAAAACTGAAAGTATTTCTAACTATTTTTTCTTATTAAGATTAGCAGCTTTTAAAAAACTTACTAAATGTAGCAGACCACTAGGAATGATGTCCTAGGAGATGAGGAACAATACTGACCTCCAAAAAGTACAAAAGTAGTACTGTAGGTCTTCACACAGACCAATTGTATTGTATCTCTACTGTAGCCTAGCTGCATAAAGCAGTAAAGTAAGTAGGACTATAAATGGAAACTAGGGAAATCTTTGAGCCTCCTTGCTCATCATCTTCCTCCTAGGCAAAGTCTCTCCAGGAACACATTTCACAAGAGCTACTTACAGTTAATATAACTATTTAATATGAATAAAGTTTAGGGCTAAGCTTAGCTTAGCCATCACAGTGTGTCACATCCACTGTATGAAAGCCCAAAAAAATTTTGCTGGACACAAAGTAAAGGTACAGAAATAACCTAACTGCTTTCCTAAATGAAAGAACATGTTCCTTTTGCCACTCTATAAATTAACTGCTATAATCAACTGCAGATTAACATATCTAAAAACCAAGTAGATTAACCAAATCTTTTAAATTCCAGAAGAAGAAAAGTCACTTGTATCTGCGTTCACATATTTATATTATCTTTCCCTAAAAACACTCTATTCACAAAATTTGAATAGTTCTGTAGTGAATTCCGTTTTCTCAGGCAGGATTTACTACAAAAGAAGTCATTTTCCAAAATGAAATGCAAGTAAAATCAAATCCTGGAGAAAGGATTTTGCACTGGAAATTACAGCATGACATTGTCACTTCCATAATTTACAGATCTGTAATTGTCAATTTATAGGAAATTAAATCAAACTATGACAAGGGAAGAAATAGAAAAAAAATCTATTCTCTATATTTTATTGCACTGATTAAGAGCAATTTCTTATTATTTTCAGCATCAATTTATTATAACACATTTTATAACCCTTCTCCTCCACTAGAAGCACTGGAAAGCACATACACTAAGCAAAGTTCTGGATTTAAAATACATCTTTAAAAAAATATAGATACACATTTGACTTGGAGCAATACAGAAAACTATGAAAACAAAAATAGCTTTCACAGTATACATTACTGAAACATTGCCATAACCCTAGCTTGACATTACCATTACACTTTTATTCCCTCTGAAAGCACACTCTTGCTGAAGGGCCCAAACTGACCGTTCCAGAGAAGCATCTCTTTAATGTACAGATTACCTTTAAGTGATGCTCAGCCAAACTCTACAAGGTCTTCATGAAGACATGGTTCACTGGCAGGATAGTTCTGTGGCAGTTTCTTGCTACTCTAGTTACATTTCTTTAAAATTAACCTCTTACTAACACAGCGTTGCAAAAAATCAATGATCATTGCCATTCTGCTTGCAAAGTATATGTAAATGATATGGAAAGAGAAAAACTGAGAAAAATAGGTCAAAAGACATGAACTTTAATCCCAAAGCAAATACACATCTCCCTGTATATGTTTTATTGTTTTTTCTTAATATAGTAAAAAACAAAAGAGAGAAAATAAGAATCAGTAAGTTTCTTGGCATGAAAGAATACATCTTAGCTCCCCAATCTCTCTAGTGATCTCAAACACTGTTAAGAGTTTTCTCTACGTTTCTTTTCACACAACTGATCAAACTACCTCTATCTCTTTATATACAGTTTTCAATTGAATGATTAACAGATGAAAAAGAAAATCAAGATATCAGAGACTAAAAGAAGAAAAGTTCACTACTGAGCATAGCTACTTCAGGGAAAGACGGAAAATTTAAATCCCACGTATAAAAGCAAAGCAAGGAATTTCTTAGTAAACTTTTGCCATTTCACAGTTTTTCTCTGCTACTTTTAAG